TTAATTGGGTTAATATATTTTTTTGTGAACTTTCCTTGTTCTGCATTTCGTGGTCATTTTAAAAAACATAGTAGATCGTCAAATTTTTTCCCCAAAATTTAATAGTATTTTTCTGCCGTTTATAAAAGGATCAGCAATTAAATTATTTACCCAAAACCAAAAATAAAAAATTTAATTTTCTAAAATTAATTCTGTAATAATATCTTTGGTACTGTTGTGCATGAAAATGAAATTTCAGCCATTTCTAAAAGACTAAGATACCAATAGCACCCACAACTAGTGGATATGAGAGGCTTGTATATACCAGATAATTCACATTGTACGAGGCCAAGGAAAAATGAAGGAATATCTTTACCAGGAGCACGCGCATCAATGCAAGGTCCAAAATTTGAGAAATCAGTAATTGGATCACTAGACTTTTCAATTGCACCCCGCTGTAATTGCTGTTGGTACACTTGCACAAGCATCTTGAGCATCAAATCTTTTATGGTTCTATAGTTTTATTGAATAACGAACGATCTACCTCTATTCCAAGGTTTAATTCTTCTACAAATACGTTCATAGCATCTTTACTGATCTCTATGAGGCCTAATAAATATTTAATAAACGTATTTCTATCATTGGCTGAATTTTAGACATTATACTATTCATGTTGCCTCAAAACAATCTGTTGTTTTGATTGACTTACAATGAGCAAATCTTAATAATTTGATAAAAGTTATGTTTATTGTTTGAACTAAGGATTTGAAGAAAATTTATAGCCTAGCATTGATTGATTTTCTTTATTCTGAAGGAATAGTAGTATCGAGCATTCAATAATTTTATTCGGACTTATTATTTATAAATTTGCTAACGGTAATATACAAAATGTTACTTTGTAAAAAGTGCTTTCCCCGTATATATTTCGTATCAAAAAATGCGTTTTGCTAATGCATCTCGTATCAAAAATACGTTTCCCCCGTATTTATTCATTCCGCATATACTCAGTACATAATTTTTTGTATGATGCATATTAATATGTTTGTTGAAATGAAAGTTTGACTGTCTGTATACTCTCGCCTTACTCTAGTTATAAGCACATTTTACTTTTAAAAAAAAATTTAAACCCCCGGTTTGACTCGAATCATTTTGTTCGGAGCCTTAATCACAAATCATTTGAATAAGAAATTGTATCATTACTATTACAAATAGAAGAAGAACTCTGCGTGTTAGTATCATTTACATTGCAGTCATTTGTGCTTAAATTAGTCACTTGGTGATAATGTTGTTTGACGAAATGCTACCAAAGTTGTAAAACCATTACGTCAAAGTCGTTGCCATTAAGTCAAAAATGACGCAAGTAAAATTGCTTTAACAAGCTAATAAAATATAAAAGCTCACAAAAAAACTTATAAATATGTACTCCGAGGTCTTTTTTTCTTATGTGTCCTTTTTTTTTTCAAGGAGCTAAGTTTTTCTTTTGCTGAATACAAAAAAAATTCAATTCCCACACGCTCATTTACCAACTAAACTCGGGTAGATAAAATCATGTTTCAGGGTCAACTAATTTTAGTGTATAATTATTAGCTTCTTATCTTTATTGTAGTTATCAATAAAATTTCATTAAGGATAACTTCAGGTCTTCGCTTGAAAAAGCATAACTTCGGATCCTCGCAGAGGAAAATAATACATTCTAATAAAATAAACTCTGTGATATAATCATTATTTTCATTAAATAAACTTAAATGTTAATTCTTTTAAAATAAAATAAAACCAAAAACATTGTCTTTATTTTCTTTGTTTAAAACGCTTCAATAAAAGCAACAAGTGTAGTTAATGCCTTGGTAAAAGGCAACAATTGTAGAGCTTTGGTAAAAAGCCATGTTTTATTTGCTTTAGTGAGTAAGCAAGCAAGGTTGGGACTAACGTTGGTTAACTAGTGAGTGCTGACAACAATTAGTAACATAATTTGATTTAGTAAGTAAGCAAAGGTTAATCGGGAAATACTGGTAGTCGTAAACGTTAAGGCTGTTAAACAAGCTACTTAAGTTGTTTTGCAAGTAAACCAAAGTGAGTTTGCAATCGGTCACTAAATGTAAACAAGGGCAAGAGACTGGAACAAATCGATCACAAGTGAATAAAGGAACTTTATACCATTGCAAAAGGACCATATTTATTTATTTACAGTTATCAAATGTGCCCACAGATTCGTCTAGATGCAAGAAAGTGGAAACCAAATTCGTAGATTAATTAATTGACAAGCACCAAATTATTTTCAATTAATTGACAAGAGTAGCCCAAAAGTTAAACCATAATTGTTAATTAATTGAAATGATACCTCGCAATATCAAGAATCAAAAAGTTTATTCAAAACATTGTTACAAGATAAGAAATAAAATAAGGATAAAATAAAAAGATAAATAAAAAGATAATAATAAATTTATAGTGGGATTAAATTAGCTATTCATCGCATCTTTGTTTTATCATTGTTACTAGAACCTAATGTTGATTAATTAATTAATTAATGTTGTTAGTAATAATTAATGGATAGTAATTTCCAATAAATTAATAATGAAATTTTTATTCACCTTTATTAACATTCTAGAGAAAAGAGTTACAATCAAGATTATTTAATGAACTATTACTTGTAATTTTTAAGCTCTTAGATTTAGCAATCTCTCTATCTAATATTCTACTTGTATGATATGCATCTGGGTGTGATTTGTGTGCTTGTTGCAAAGTACTACTACCACTACTAGTAGTATTATTACCATTATCATCATTATTATTTTTAATAATTTCATCATGTTTGTTTTTAGCAAAATACAACAGCTCTCTACTAGTTGGTCTTTTTGATGGATCCACATCCCAACATCTCTGCATCATTTGTACATAATCATCAGGAATTCCAGGTAGTATTGGCGGTCGTAAACCTTCACATATATCAAAAATCAAATGATGATTGTGAGCTCTATCATCAAATGGTGGATGACCTGCAAATATTTCCCACATTAACATCCCAACACTATAGAT